CGTCGAACGCCTGCGCCTTTTCCTTGGCCAGGCGGACGGCCTCCTGGGCGTTGCGGGCGGCGTGGGCGCGCAGGTTGGTCTCGTCCTCGTCGTCAAAGTCGATTTCGCCGAGCTCGGCGAGCTTCGCCTCGGCCTCGGTCAGCTCGGTGCGCGGGTCGATGGCGGGCACCGTGGCGGTCGAGGGCTGTGCGTCGGGGTCGATGATCTTGGCGCTGCCCGCCGTCTCGTCGGACTCCTCCATCTCGGCCGTCTTGAGCTTGCTGCCGACGAAGTGGCTGTACAGCTCGGTCTGCGAGATGAGAAAGTTGAGCTTGCGTGCCTGCCGCTTGGCCTCGCGCATCTCCTCCTCCTTTTTGGCCTTCTCGAGCGCCTCCTTTTCCGCCCGCTTGCGCAGCTCGCGCTCCTCCTTTTCGTTGCGCTTCCAGAAGACGAGCACCTCGCGCATCACCTTGCGCGCGCGCAGCTGGACATCCTTGACCGTCTTGTTGTTGCGCGCCGCGCCGCGCTTGGCCTCCCTCTGCACCACGCTCGACAGGCGACGCCAGAACATGGCCTTGCTCGACGCGCTGGCGAGCACGGTGCGGTAGATCTTGGGCACGTCGCGCTTGGCAATCAGCGTCCAGATGCGGCGGTGCGCGTCCTCGAGCTGCTGCATGCGCCGCGCGTCGATGGGCACCTTGCCCTGGGCGTCGAGCACCATGGTCTCGTTGGCCTCGTCGGGCGCGGGCGAGACCTGCCGCGACGCCAGCGTCGACTCGTCGCCGGCATAGGCGCGCGAGAGGCCAGCTGCCAGCGGGATGTCGTCGTCGTCTTCATCATCGTCATCCCCGGCGCCGATGCCGCCGTCCGAGGCAACTGCGGGAGACGACCCGGCAGCGCGCACGACGTCGTCTAGCTTGCGCTTCTTGCTGCGGTCGTCGCCGCCGCGGCCGCGCTTGAGCTTGGTCGAAGCCGCACCGTTGCGACGGAAGCTGCCAGCCTCGTCGTCGCCGGCCCTCGCACCCTTGACGCCGTCGCCGAGGGTGCCGAGCAGCTCCATCTCGATCTCGCGCTCCCGCAGCTTGCGCGCGCTCTCCTCGCGCTCGATCCGTCGGCTCTCCTGAAGCGCCAGCTCCCGCTGTTCACGCAGCCTGGCGTGGCGTTCGAGCGCGTGGTGTCGGCCCTCGTAGGCCAGCGCGAGGCGTTGGCCGACCTCAGAGTGCTTCTTGTCGAGGTTGTCCAAGTAGATGCGCTCGATGATCTTCTTGCGGTCGCTAAAGTCGAGCATGTACGTCTCCAGCTCGGCCTGCCACACCGTCTGGTTCTCGTCATTGGACAGATCGCTCTCCCAGCCGTCGGCGTCGCGGCTGCGCTTGGCGGGCGGCGGCGGAGCATAGAAGGACGCGCCGCCCTTGTTGGCCGGCGGCAGCGGATTGTTGCGCAGCTTCAAGGAGATCTTGGTGGGTCCCTTGGCGGGCGCGGCGTCGTTCGCCGATGCCTCCGCTGCCGGTGTTTCGGCCGCCGGGGACGTCGAGGTACCCTTTCGCGAGCCGTTGGCCCTGCTGCGACGTGTGCTGGAGTCACCGGCGTGCCCGAGACGTTCCAGCGTACGTGCCGCTTCCAGCCTCGAGCTTGAGCGCCTTCGGGGCTCCGGGGCTGGCCCGTTCTCGGGCTCATCGTCCGCTGGGGCCGGTGCGGGCGCAACCGGTCGCTCGTCGACTAGGCTGGCGATCGAAGCCACGCTGCGAGCTTCATCTTCGCGCTTGACTGCATGCAGCTGCGATGTCGGCTGGGATCGCTCGCCGTCAGGCGAGTAGTCGCGCACTCCTACGTCATCCACGCGGTGGCGCTCTCGCCCGCCTACGACGCTCGGGGAGTCGTAGCGGTGACGCAGGCCCCGGCCGAAATCGCGCGCCGGATCGAAGACGGCTCGTGATGACGACGCCGACGAGTAGTCTTCGCGGTCGTGGGCCGAAGACGCCACGGGAGATCGAGCCTCGGCCGCATCTCCGTTGCCGCCGTGTCGCTCGTATGGGTGGCTCTCCGCCGCCGCCGCCGCCGCCGCCGGTGCTGCTGCGCCAGAGTGTTCATGTGACGTCCGGTCGTTGAGCATGCTGAAAATGGACATGGCCGGCCTTGCCGGGCTCGACTCGGGCTCCTCGTGCGTTCGCCTAGGCGAGGCGGGAGCCTGCGAGTAGTCGTTCGGTGAGCGGTGATAGCGCCTTTCCTCGGGCGTCGACACCGCCGGTGGATCCGGAGAGCGAGCAGCACGGCGGTATGAGGGTTGGATGCTCCTCTCGTGCTCGGCCCACTGTGAGGGAGAGGGCGAAAGACGGTCCCGGGGAGGGCGCCCGGCAATAGCGCTCGTCAGCCATCACTGCCCAGGCTCATGCTCAGGCTCCACATCAGCGCCGCGGTCCCAGCGAATGCACTCACTGAGCTGTGTCCATTGCTGAGCTGGCTCGAGCTGGCACGTTCGTACCTTTCGGCGCCCACTTCGCCTCGGTAGTATGCCTCTTCTTCCTCGTCGCGCGGGTCCGGGTGTCGGCGGTAGGTGGCATGGTGGCGGTCTTCGTCGTTGGCGGGATGCAGGCCATGCGATCGCGGGAGGTATTCTTCGGCGGCGCCATAGGAGCGGCCACCGCTGCGCCTCGGTCCGGAATCGCTCCACTCGTGCGAGCGAGAGCTGTAGCCGGCGCCGTACGAGGCTGCCGGTGGCAGGGCACGCTCGTCATAGGAGCGGTATCGCGCCTCTTCTGCTTCCGAAGGATAGTGCTGAGCCGAGCCCTTTGGCGACTGGCCGTAGCGGGCGGACGCCTCGGCCCTGCGCGGGCTCGGGGGCGAGTAGTACGGAGGGTACCCTCTGCCGCTCATCTCTGGCGTCACAGGAGTGCCAGCGTCGCCTGGCAGGAGGCTGCTTGGCTAGGAGGGGTGCCGTTTGGTCGTCCACGAGTGGACGCTGATGCTGGGATGCCTCGGTGGGCGCCGGGCGGGGACTCGAGGCTCGGTTGAGCTCGAAGGTTGGCCCCGATGGTCGCAAAGATGGCGGGCCGGGTTGCGTTCGCAAGAGGCTGCCCGGGACGTCGAACGAAGCGCGAGGAGTGGCGTGCAGCGAAGCTTGGAAGAGCTGGCCTTCGTAGTTGGCCAGCTGAGCCGTGCTGCAATGAGCGCGGTCCTGGTGCCTCTGCTGGTTCTTCTCGGCCCCGATGAAGGGGGGGTGCTGGTCTGAGGAGTAGTGCGAAAGGCAGTCAGCCGGGGGGAGAAAGGTGGCGGCGGTGACTCGCAGATGCTGCAGCGCGGTGCTGGCTCGGCTGCTTGGTCGCTAGCCGGTGCGAACGGGCTGCAACCGGATACGATGCTTGTGGCGTCGGGGCAAGGAATGTGCGGTACGATGCGGCGCAGGATGGGACGGAACTGACAGAGGGCCGGAGCAGGTCGGGACAGGGAAGGGGGGGACTAGTACCGTAATGGTGTCGGTAGCGGTGGTGGTGGTGGTGGTGGTGGCGATGGTGGTGTCAGCGGCAGGGGTGGGGTGCGGTAGGTGATGCGATGACGAGCACGGCGGCGGGGCTAGCGGCCCGCTGGGCGAAGGGCTGCGGTGTGGTATGGCCCTCTTTTGTGGCTGGGGCCCGAGGCGCAAAGAGTCAGAGGGTTGGGCGGACCCCCCCATGCTCGTTTGTGATCCAGCGGGGCGAGGCCGGCTTGGGAGCGTTGGCGGTGTGGCCAGCCCAGGGCCGGGCCCAGCCAGCGGGCGGGTGCAGCGGCGGGCGAGATCGAAATCGCCACGGTCAGAGTCCGGCCAGGCTTGCCTCTGGGCTGTCTGGCTTGGCCTGGCCTGGCCTGGCGTTTACGTCTTGCTTGGTCCTCCCTGCGCGCCCTTGCGTTTGGGGTTGCTCGTCCATCGTCGTCGCTGCTGCTCGCGTCGGATGGGTCCGCTCGTCCCGGGGCCTGCCACAGGCCTGCCTGCTGCTGCTGCTGACGCCTGGCCTTCCATCGCGCTTCCGCTCCTGTCTTTTTTTTCTTCCTCGCAGCGGCACGCCCTCTGTCGCAGGCCAGCTCGGGCCAGCCAAGTTGGAGGCTCTACGCAGTACGGCGAGGAAAACCGAGGTCAGCAACCAAGGCCAGACCTGGCTGGACAAGCCAACCGACCAACCGACCGACCACCCAGCAAGCAAGCAAGCAAAGAGCCACCAGCGAGCGCATTGGCCGTACGTGTGGCCTGGCGTGGCCTTTCGCCGGCAGCGCGAGCCACCGCGACACGCTCTCGCCAGAGAGGGCATGGTCTGCGCGAATTGGGGCGGCATTGCTGGGGGCTCTTCGCGCCAAGGTTTGCTCGCCATCGCCGCAGTTCGGAGGCGCGCGCCTAGACTGCCGCCCGTCATGCCGCGGGAGTCGAAGTCTCAGCCACGTCGAGCCCTCGGTCTGGCCAGGCCTTAAGCTGACCGCAGGCTGGCAGGCGGGCGAGCGTGGTCGCGGTGCTCGTCGCGCCGGCCTCGCGTCTCCGCAGGACGGGCGAAGGTCAACATCCCGGGCGCCGTGTCCAGAGTAGCAGAGTGATGGACTGACGACCGACCTCGCCGCGTCGTCGCGACCGCCAATTGGCCTGGGGTGACCTCGCCGCGCTGAGCAACGTGAGCGTGCCATCTTCCAGTCGCGCCACGGACTGTCGTGCGCGCCGCTGCGGGAAGGGCGTCGTCCTCTTGCACCTCCGCCGCTTGTCGACAGAACGCCTGTGCTGTCCAATCGAGGTGAGGCTTCGTAGCCTGCAACGACCGTGGATGCTCTCCAGCGACGGTGGACCACGGCGGCGCCAAGTGCCGCCACAGCGGTCGGCGAGCCTGCTGGATGCCGTCCGGCGCAAGGCGGCCTGGGGAGAGCTTCGCCAGGCCGTGATCCGCACTTCGGAACCGCCCGGCCGCGCAGCGAGCATGGTCAACGATGCCCGCGTCGCTCGCTCGACCCTTTTCACTCTCCTTTTCCGCACGCCTTTTCGGCTTTGGTGGCACCCCATGGGATGACGCGCTGGACCCGCCGGTCGTCGACGCCATGCTCCGCGCTCGACTGCCACTTCGATCAGTTGATCGCTTCCGGGACCGCGGCCGCAGCACCAGGCCCGGGCACGCCTGGCGCTCACGATTCGACTTGGAGAGAAGATACCCTCGGGACTCATCTCTTACACGAGTCGGCAGCGATGCCCGGCCTGGCGGACCGCCCTTGTCAGACGCCTCGAGGCTGAACCAGGCCGGCTCAGCTGCCGATAGAGACCTGCCATGCTTTGCATCGGGCAGTCGTGCATCTCGGCGAGAGAAGTCGAGCTGAGCCCGGGTCCGAGCCTCTCATCCGCCGGGCCGGTCCTCGTGGCGAAACTGGACGCCCCCGGCTCGCCACCCGCCAGACGGCCGCTCAGGCTGCGCGGTCCAAGCTCTGAGGGCAGATCGGCTCATACTCTGTAGCGCTATCGCCGTCTGATGTGGGGACCACTTGCGGACCGTTATCGACCGAGTTGGCTGGCATGTCGACGAGGCGCGCGGCCGAGCTAGCGGCAAGTTGCGCACATACAGCTCCCGGCGCGGTGGGGAGGTCCAGACCCCCGGGATCAAAGAGCGTTCGGTACCGGTGCCGCTCGCCGGTCGAGAGAAGTTACTGGGCAGCCGGTGAAGTCCGGCTGGCAGATGGCAGCGGCTCCGCCTGCCCGACAGGCCGTCCCCGGGTAACGGGCGAGAGCGACTCATCCATCAAGATTGCGAGCTTGCCCCCGATGGCGAACTGGTGGGTGGCGAGTCGATGCAGACGATGATGCAACGGACAGCTCCATCGCAAGCGAGGACCCATAGGATAACGGTAGCACGTCCCCGGCTTCGCCCTACACGGCAGGCGAGGACGACGACAGGCAGGCTGCAATGCCATCTCCTGTTCATCCGGCGGGAGTCGGTCGAGTCGGTCGCCGTTGGCCATCGCCGCCGGGGACCTAGTCGACACCGCCACGAAGCCAGGGAGACGAAGAGGGTGTTGGGCATTGCTATAGACATGCTGGGGCCATCGAGGCGGTCACATTCGGACCGTCTCGAGGCCTGCCCGGGCGACGACGAACGGCGAACGGCGGAGGCCGCGCTCCGGCCGGTGCTTGTCTCGACCTCGCTGCACTGCCCGCTCTCAGATCTCAGCCAGCTGCACGCACGAACGTACGAACGGCCTTTGAACGCAACATCGTGCCGCATCCAATGCCGCCACGACGTCCCATCTCGAGAGCCAGGACTCGGACTTTCGGACAGCTGCTGGCGGCGTACACCACACGGGGCCCAGAGCCATGGCGACCCAGCAGGCAAGGCAGGGCAAGGTAAGGCCTGCAAGCCGAGCGGTCCCACGCAGGCGGCTGCGCGAGCCGAGCAGACCATGCCGTGACGGAGATTGCGCTTCCGGCTGGCGTCGACGTCGCCGTTGCTGCTGGCGAGCGCACGCGCCAAAGCCCTGGCCTGCTGGATACAGTACGCTCGTTGCTGGAGCCGCTGCCGCTTGCTTCAACCTTGCCCGCCGCTTCTACACGAGCACGGCAGGCCTGCTGCCGTAGCTGTCAGGTCTGGCCTGTCCGTCCGCGTTGGCTCCGAGTCTGGCTTCGTGCGTGCGTCGTGACAGCAAGCCAGGCCTATCCCACGCAATGGGCAGCCAGACGGGCTCGACACGAGGGCGGGGAACCGAACCAGATCGTCGTCGCACGCACGCACGCGTGCACGGTCCTTGATGTCGTCGGTCTATCGGTCGGTCCAAAGTGCACAGCACAGCCTGCAGCGAGCTGGGTCTCGCCCATGGGGCCGCGGCCTGGCCCAGCTTGAGCGGGCAGGCAAGCAATATTCAAAGCAAGCAAGCAAGCAAGCAAGCAAGCAAGCGCAGCAAGCAAGGCGATGCCGAAGATGTCGACGTGGCATGAAGCGGCCTGGTCGTGTCCAGAACCTGCTCCGCCTGGCCTGGCCCTGCCCCGCCTCGCTACCTACCTGCCTGTGACGGCATCTCATCGCCTGCTGGCCCAGCCTGGCCTGGCCCTGCGGCGATGCACGGCGAGTCTCTTTCGACTTAGCCTGCGAGCGCGCCCTCTGGCGGCATCGACAACCGAGCCAACGTTCTGCCGCCCTGCCCGCGCGTGCGGATGTTCCTGCCTCAGCAGGGCCCAACTACCCGCGGGTCGCCACGCCCGGACCACCGCCCACCGTCCTAAATCAGGCAGGTCAAGTCGTCGTCGCTGTCGTCGCCGCCGACCTTTGCTTGCTTGCTCTTTGGCCCCTCTGCCGCCGTACTGGTCGACGAGGCGGGCAGACCCGCCTGAACACCTACCGACCGCCGTGCGCGTGCGCGCTAGCTTTCGGGCAAGCACGCACATACGTGCGCTAAGCTGCCCTCTGACGCTGACAGCCTACGTTGCCGAGAGCAGGTGCTGCTGCTGCCGTCGTCGTGCTGTCATGTGCAAAGCAGAGCAGCAGCAGCATCAGCAGCAGCAGCAGGTCAGGCCGACTGGCGCACGCACGGGCTGCCTTGCCCCAGAATAGAAGGTCGAGGCAGGCGCCCCAGAGGCTGGTCGGCCGGCCGGCTTCACATGACGCTCGACTGTCCGTGCGCTGCGCTGCGCCCGCGGGGCGGTTTCAGTGTTGGACAGGCCAGGCCCGGCCGCTCCGCACCATGTCGGCACCTCTCGAGGTATATAACCCCCCGGCTCGAGGCGTCGTCCACTGCCCCCTCGTATCGCAACCTCACCACCGCTCTCTCTCTCTCTCTCTCTCCCTCTCACAGTCTATCACCAACTACCACACACTACCGACTCAACATGGACGGCTTCATCAACAAGGCTAAGGAGTTCGCCTCCTCGGAGCAGGTGAGTCCCGGTCCCGCTCGCCGCCCGCGGCACCGCCACCGGCTTGTCCACGACCGAAGCGCGTCGAACTCACACCCGGCATCGTTCGTCATCATTGTCTCCTTATGCCTTGCTACCACCGCCGATAGGGTGAGAAGATGATCAACCAGGCTCTCGGCCGCAACCAGAACAACAACAACGACTCGTCGTACGGCTCGAGCAACAACAACGACTCTTCGTACGGATCGAGCAACAACAACAACGACTCGTCCTACGGATCGAGCAACAACAACAACGACTCGTCCTACGGCTCCGGCAACAACAACTCCTCTTCCTACGGCTCGGGCAACAACGACAACAACAGCTCGTCGTACGGCTCGGGCAACAACGACAACAACAGCTCGTCGTACGGCTCGAGCAACAACAACGAGTCGTCCTACGGCTCCGGCAACAACAACTCGTCGTCGTACGGCTCGAGCAACAACGACAACAACAACGACTCGTCGTACGGCTCCTCTGGCAACAACAACTCGTCGTCCACTTACGGCTCGTCGCGCAACGAAAACGTGAGTATCCTAGCTTTTCCTTCACGTCAACGCCGTCTCCTTCCGCATCGCCCTCCCCGCTGACCGTCGACGATTGCCTCGCTTTGCCCTCCCTCTCCTTTCCCCGTTCTTGACTCCCGCCCCTCCCACAGGACTCGTACGGCAGCAGCGGCGGCAACAGCTACGGCGACAGCAACCGCAACGACTCGGACTCGCGCGGCTCGGGAGGCTACGGCGGTTCGAGCAACGACAACGAGTACGGCTCGTCGAACAGCAACCGTCGCGGCGACAACGACGACAGCAGCTACGGCTCGTCCAACACGCGCCGCGGCGACAACGACGACAGCAGCTACGGCGGCAACAACAGCTCCAGCGGCGGCTACGGCGGAGGATCCAACGACAACGACAACTCCGGATCCTACGGCTCCAGCGGCGGCCGCGGCGGGTCCGACTCGTACTCGGGCAACTCGGGCAACGACGACTACAGCAGCCGCAACGAGCGCAGCAACGACTACTAGACCCGCCAGCTCCATGTAGACAGAATCTGCGCTGCATACTACTGTCGATGATTTGCTCCGAGTAACGTGGAATTGCATACCAAGTGGTGAGACCTAGGTCCCCCTCCCGGCCCGCCTCATGGTTCGAGCGTGGACATTGCAGCCACTGCAGCTGGCTTGACGACCTGCTACGAGGTCGTGCCCGGCTTGCAACCTTGCTCAGGGCAGCAGCAGCAGCTCAGCCGCGGACCCCGTCCCTCAAGGTTTGGTTGCCGGCTTGCTAGACTGTTGCAGATAAGCAAGCTGCAGCAACGGCCGGAAGAGGATCGGATTGGCCTTGCTGCTGCTCCTGCTGCTGCTGCTCTTCAACACCTCTGCTTCTTGCATGTCTGCCGTCGAGGTGTCGCAGCACGGCATGACTGTGCGCGCCAGACTGACCGGGCTGTGCCGCTTCCTCACAGGGCCTCACAGGCTTGATGGCCGGTACATAGGCCACTGGTCCCCCGCCCTTGCTGCAGTGCTTCCGCAGATGATGGTACCGTGGCCGGATCGAGGTGTTGCGTGTTGGTCTGGTCTTGCCATCTGCTGGGTTCAAAGACGGGGGCGAGAAAGGGTGGGGACGGCGGCGCGCCCTCGCAGCCGCGCCCACACGCCGGTCCCAAGGTGGAGGTCCCCCAGCCTCGCAGCCTCGAACCTCGAACCTCGACCTCGACTTCGACCATCCATCCTCCTGCACCCACCCTCGTTCTGTTCCTCCACGACGACGACGACGACGACGACGACGACGACGACGACGACGACGACGACGACGACGACGACGACGACGACGACGACGGGCACCTCGCTCCTCCTGCCATTTCAACCCCACGATGATTCCCGCCAAGCAGGTATCGACGCCCTTCAAGTCCCCGCTGGCGCAGTCGCACAGCCACACCCCGCCATCGCAGGACGACCTCGAGGAGACGAAGCGGCAGATTGAGTCGTTGCAGACGAAACTTGGGTTCGTCACCTGCCCGTCCTTTCCTCGAAGAGATGCGGATACTGACGCGGTACCCACCCCGGCTTTATCGAACAGGGATGCAGATGTCGACGAGACGATCAAGAGGCATGTTGAGCTGCTCAACGAGTACAATGCCGTAAAGGACGGCTGTACCGTGCGTCTTCCAGCGGACCCCCTCCCCCTTCCCCGGCGCTGCCATCGACGCGAGGCAAGTCGAGCAATCGACCGATATGATGCTGATCCCCCTCCTGTTGCACGTTCCCCCTTCCCTTCCCCCTCGCAATCGCGCAGAAGGTCTTTGATCGCGTACGTCGCCTCCCCTCCGCATAGAGGACCAGAGACCCACGCGAGGCGCAGCAGGGACGCACACTGACACTCTGCCACCCCCCCGTCCGTACCCGCATCCGCACCACGTTCTACCCAACACGACGACGACGGCAGATTGCCGAGATCGAGGCTGTTCCCTCCTCGGTCGTCTGGATGCGTTACGGCCTCGACAAGGACGACTAGGACCCGATCCCAGCGCACGCACCCACCTCCAAGCCTCTCACGAGGAACCCACGAGCGACGAGCGCAAGCCGTCCCCTGCCTCTCGCTTCCCCTTTTCCGGCGCAATAACAGCGGCCCGCTCGAAAGCTCTACCCATGACCGCGAGGACCCAAGGGACGCGACTGCACGCACACGGCTCAGGATTCAGCGCCCAGCCTCAAGTCGTCGACCAAAAGTCGATGTGCATTGCCCTCAGCCAACCCCGCATGCCCGACCACGCCGCAGCTTCTCCATCGCAAGCCGGCCGACGATCTAGACGACGGTGCTCCCCACCCTCTCGCCCATCTGGGGTGGCGGCCGGGCAGCATAGCTGGGAAAGTTCCTTCGCGACAGCAGCAGACCCTTGAGGCTGCGGATCTCGGCCTTGACCTGCCCAATCTCGCCGGATCTCGTCTCGTTGCCCCCGGACCCTGCCCCCGTAGCCGACGTTGACGAACCCCCCGCCGCGGCGGCGGGCGTAGCTCCGAACCGCATCCCCAGCGTGCTGTTGGCAAACGACTGGTTGGTCGCCATAAACTGGCGCGAGCTGATGTCGGCCGACAGCGACGTCAGCGAGCTCTTGAGCGCGCCCCGTTTGGCCGACGAAGAGGAAGACGACCGACCCGAGGTGGAGGACGTCGTCGTCGGCGTCTGCGTGTGCTTCTTCTTGGTGTACGATCCGTAGGGGTCAAACTCGAGACCGTCGTCCGAGACCGTGTCGGTGTCCGAATCAGACCATTCAGAGCCAGATTCGGAATCAGCGTCCGAGACCGTGGCCGGCCGCGCTTGCGTAGTGGCGGAAGCGATGGCTCCAGAGGCTGCGCTGTCGACAGGCGCGCCTGCGTCCAACGGCTTGCCGACCGCGGCCGACGACATGTCGGCCCGCAGCACCGCCGCCAGGCGCGAGATGGACTGGCGCAGCGGCTCCGTCAGGTCGATGGGCTCCAGACCCTGAGCGAGGTCTCCGGCTGCTGCTCCCTCCGCTGCCGCCGCGTCGCCGTCCTTGCCCGCCGCCGGATCGGCCGCCTGCTTCTCGTCCGGCGCCCTTGCATCCACCTCGACGTCTGTCCCTGGCAGCACCACCTTCTCGGTCTTGTGCCCCTTGTCGTCGGCCGCACCGTCGTTGCCGGCTGCCGCGGCCAGCGCCCTCTGGCTGTCGTCGAGCTTTCCGCCGTCGACCTCGTCGCCAAAGTGGACCTTCTTGAGCACGCCCTTGCGCTGCTGCTGCTGCTGCTGCTGCTGCTGCTGCTTTGCCACTTCGGCGGTCGAGGCGGGCAGGTAGGTGGCCATGCCGCGGACGCTGGCCCTGAGCTTGTCGTAGAGGACGTGGTGGTGGCTGAGCACAATGGAGCGAGCATCAAAGGTGGCGGTGATGCGCGGGAGGACGTAGGTGCGCCAGAGTGCGACTGAAAGGGCGGTGACGCCGCCGCCGAGCATCATGAGGTAGCTGAGCGTCTTGAAAAACTGCAGCAACACCTGGTAGCGCGTGAGGGGCGAGTTGGCGGCGGCGGCGCCGGAGCCTCTCCCGCCCGTCGATGAGGGATGTGCGCCAGTTGCCTGAGGGGAGGGCGCCTCGTAGTAGAGGGCCAGGGGCGAGGTTGGGTAGGTGCGTGGGGGCGGTGCGAGGGAAGCTGCGTTGATGGGATCGTCAAACTCTTTGGCTGCGCGTTCGAAAGCCTGGGCGTCGGTCTCTGCTGCTGATGCCGTAGCATGCGAGGGGACCGAAGAGGCCGATGCGGATGGGGGTGTTGCGTCGCGGAAAGCTGCGTGGATCTCGTCTTCGGTGAGGCCCTTTGAGCGGAGAAACTCGCGCTTCGTATCGTCGGTTGCGTCGCCGGTGACGCGGGCTGAAGTGAGGAAGCGGATGGCCTGGGCGAGCAGCTGGCCGCGGTCGTCGGTGGACGTTGCGGCGGCCGACGACGAGGAGGCGGTATCGGTGGTCTGGCTCGATGTCGGTGTTGCGTTGCCTGCCGACGACGTTGATGGGTCACCGTCGGAGGAGGTCATGGTTGCGGTTGTTGCTTGGAGCTGGCTGCACTGGAGTGCGATGCAGAGAGGTGGTGGTGGTGGTTGCGGCAGAGTGATGCCGCGTACGCGAGGGTGACCGGGAGAAGGGTCGAGCGAGGTGCCGGCCAAAGTGCGGGGAAATTGGGCAGAGCGTGAGAGCCGGTTGAGAGCCGGTGGGTGGCCCTCCTTTTCGCCCGAGAAAGCGATCGAGTGCGGACGAGTGGTGCCACGGCCCGCCAGGCAAGCAGGCCAGGGGCGGCCTCAGTCGGGCAGAGTGGCCGGTAGCCGGTGGGGTGCGCCCATGCAGATGATGGGGTGCCGACTCTGCCACGCCCGCGGGCAAGCCTTCGTCTGGCCAACCCGATGACGCTCGAGAAATCCTCCGCTCTCGCTAGTTAGCTGCTTCCAGCCAGGCCAGGCCCGGGCCCAACCCAACACAGCCCAACAGCTGGGCTAGGCCGGCAGCCAGCCAAGAAGCAAAGGCTGGTGGCTCCCCCTCGCCGGCCGCCCGCAACCGGCTTTCTCGACTTGCCGTCGCCGTCGCTGCCGTCGCTGCCGCTGCCGCCTGCCCGCCTTCTGGCCGCCTTCTTGGCCCCGCTCCAGCCCGAAGAACGTCCTCCAACGTTCGCCCGGCACAGATCATCGTCGAACCCCCCATCTGCCCCCCGACGGCTGCCCCGCACAAGGTCCTTAAACCCACCCCGCCTCGCCCCTTGCCCCCGCTTCGACTCCTTCCTCCTCTCTCTTGCTTCCTTCACGATCGCAACGCCTCACCTCACCCCTCCATCAGTCACTCCTCTTGCCGACGCTGACGCCGACGCCGACGCCGACGCCTGCCCCTTAAGCACGACATCTTCACCGCCCGCCTCTCTCTTCTCCCCGCCCCTTCCTTTTCTCCCCGTATCCGCCCTTCCCCCCTCCATCGGCTGCTGGCTCTGCACCTCTCGCCGCCTTTCATGACTTCGCTGGGTCGCCTCTCTGCACGCTCTTCGTCCAAACTGGCCTCGTCTGCAAACCTCCTCCCCCCTTCGCGCTCGCTCGCAAACATGTCGCGCTACTCGCCAGCGACCTGGGGCACCCCCAAGGAGCCCCTGGGCTCCGGCCCCATGTACGAGGGCCAGGATGCCATGCCCCACCTCCCCGTCCCCAAGCTCGACCAGACCCTCCAGAAGTGGAAGCGCAGCACCGAGCCTCACCAGACGCCCTCGTCGCTGGCAAAGACCGAGGCCGCCGTCCAGTCGGCCCTCTCGGGCGAGGACAGCAAGCTCTTCCAGACCCTCCAGCAGAGGCTCGAGCACCGCGCAAACAACGAGGGACGCGAGAGCTGGCTCGCCCAGTGGTGGAACGAGGCCGCCTACATGGCCTACCGCGACCCCGTCGTGCCCTACGTCAGCTACTACTACGCCCACAAGGACGACCGCTCCCGCCGCGAGGGCACAAAGCGCTCGGCCGCGCTCCTCAAGGCGTTCCTCGCCTTCCGCAGGCTAGTCGAGACGTGAGTAGCAGGGCCGCCGCGCATTCGGATCGGGCGCAAGGTGCGAGCGGAGCCGTAGCCTCGACTTGCTGACCGGGCCCCCGACGCTCCTGTCCTAACCCATCACGTTCCGCTCCGCAGTGGCCAGCTCGCGCCGGAAAAGGGCAAGGCTGGACCGCTCTGCATGCGATCTTACAAGTGGGCCTTCAACTCGAACCGCATCCCCGAGAGCCCTGCCGACACGGCCGTCAAGTACGACTGGCAGACCAACAACCACGTCGTCGTCGCACGCAACGGCCGCTTCTACGAGTTTGACCTGGTCCACAACGGCCAGGAGCTCAGCGAGGCCGAGATCGACAGGTGAGCCTGGCCGCTGCCGCTTTTCTTCAATCCGTCGCTCAGGTGTTCTCGATGCGCTCGCCGCTGACACCCTGCCTGTCGCACCGAACGAATGCCTGAACCCTCCCGGCCCCTTCGCCGCGCCCGCAGCCAGCTCAAGAAGATCGCCAACGACCCGTCGGCGTCCAAGATGGTGCAGTACCCCGTTGGAGCGCTGACGTCGGCCAACCGCGACAAGTGGACCGAGGCGAGGCAGGCGCTGCTCAACGTGGCCGGCCAGGGTGGCAAGGCCAACGAGCAGGCGCTCGAGCGCATCAGCAGCGCCGTCCTGGTTGTCTGCCTCGATGACGAGGCGGCGCGCAGCCTCGAGTCGGCCGCCTGGCGCTTCTGGTACGGCGACGGCAAGAACCGCTTCTACGACAAGCAGCAGATCATTGCGCTGCCCAACGGCAAGACGGGCTTCATGGGCGAGCACTCGCTCATGGACGGCACGCCTACGCTGCGCCTCAACGACTTTTCGCTGCAGGCGCTGGCGGCGGGCAAGATTGACCTGGGCACCTCGAACCGCACCGACCTGCCGGCGCCCAAGCCGGTCGAGTTTACGCTGGACCGCACCGTCGAGGCCAAGATTGACGAGGCCATCCGCGACTTTGAGGCGCTCAAGTCGCAGCACGACCTGGCCATCCTCGACTTCCAGGGCTACGGCAAGGGCGCCATCAAGAAGTTCAAGTGCTCGCCCGACGCCTGGGTCCAGATGGTCATCCAGCTGGCCTACTTCAAGATGTACGGCAAGGTGGCGCCCACCTACGAGAGCGCCCAGACGCGCAAGTACAAGTGGGGCCGCACCGAGGTCATCCGCAGCTGCAGCCCCGAGTCGACCGAGTTTGTCCGGGCCATGGAGGACAACGGCGCCTCGGACGAGGACCGGTATGCAAAGTTCCAGGCGGCCGTCAAGCAGCACCTCGCCTACGCCTCGGCGGCCGCCGACGGCCAGGGCGTCGACCGCCATCTCCTCGGCCTGAAGAAGCTCATCCAGGACGGCGAAAAGGTGCCCGACCTGTACAACGACCCGGCCTTTGGCGCCTCGTCGACCTGGAAGCTGTCAACGTCGCAGATTTCGTCCGAGATGTTCGACTCGTGGGGCTACGGCGAGGTGACTCCCGAGGGATTCGGGTGCGCCTACGCCATCAAGGAGAACTCGCTCACCTTTACCCTGACCAGCCTCAAGCTGGGCTCGGCCGACCTGAGGCACTTTATCAACGAGTCGGCCATCGAGCTGCGCGATCTCCACCTCCGTCTCCAGGCTAAAGAGGCCAAGTCGGCTGCCGGATCCAAGCTCTGAGGCCGCGCGGTGGCCCACTCTCCAATTCCCTTGTCGCCTTGTACATCCCCCTTCCGTCCTCCCACCCCCTCTCTCGTCGTCGGCGTCGTCGACCAAGAAGTTCAAAAGATAGAGCGCCGGCGTTGTTGTCTAATTTACGAAAGCAGTCCTGTACTCCTCGCTGATCCCCGGTGTCTCCGACTGAGCGAAAGGAAGGCAGCAGTGTGATGGGGCAAGGGGCGGCATCTCTGGGCCCGGCCCGATCCGATCGAGAGGGGTGCCAGGTGGGCTGGCCGATCTGATCGGGTGGCTCGCCGGTTGGCGCCGGGGCAGCTCGGAAGACCACCCGTGGCCGGCGACAGGAAGCCGGCCAGCTGCCGCCCTACGCTGCTGGCACTAGCTCTACCTGGCCTGGCTCTGGCCTTTTGGGTAGGTCATCAAGCAGCCGCAGGATTCTCGCCGTCTGCTGCTGGCGCTGAGAGGCGGCAACAGCCACGTCCGCCTAGCCGGCCCAGGCTGGCCTGCTGGCCCCTGTTGATCGCCCGAGGTCAGGGCGCCGAGCAGCAGAGTCACGCCCCGCCCCGCCCCGCCCTCTCTGGCAGGCAAGGGAGGCTCGTTTTGCGGGGCACACTCACGGCAATCTTTCCTGCGAGGGGCCGGTCCGCCAGCCCGTCGCACCCACCAGACCGACAATCTTCCAGCACGAGCACGAGCGACCCAGACTGGCTGCTTTGTCGTGTTCTCTTCTTGGCTTTCGACCCTCACCATCCGATCCTCCTCGACCTCTCCTGTCTACCCCAGGCTGCCATCATGCTCGCACCCGTCGCCTTCCGCACCGCCGTCAGGTCCAAGGCCGCCCCCTCGGCCGTCGGCTCCCTCTTTGTCTCTGCTCGCCAGTTCAAGAGCACCTGGGCGCACGTCCAGGGCGGTCCCCCGGACCCCATTCTCGGTGAGCAACGCCAAAAAGCCTAGACTCGGGAGAGGCAGGGCTACGGACCGTCGACGCCGTCGATGTCGACGTTTGTGCCTAACCACCTCATACCACTTTCCGCTCTGACCCGCGCTCTCCCCACATCGGCACCCTCCCCAGGCGTCACCGAGGCCTTCAAGCGCGACCAGGACCCGCGCAAGATCAACCTGGGCGTCGGCGCCTACCGTGATGAGAACGGCAAGCCTTACGTCCTGCCCTCGGTCCGCAAGGCCGAGGAGCTGATTGTCGGCGCCAAGGGCGACAAGGAGTACCTCCCCATCACGGGCCTCGCCGACTTTACCAAGAACGCTGCCATCCTCGCCTACGGCAAGGACAGCGCACCCGTCAAGGAGAACCGCATCGCCATCACCCAGTCTATCTCGGGCACCGGCGCCCTCCGCATCGGCGGTGCCTTCCTCCAGCGCCACTACCCCGACGCCAAGACCATCTACCTCCCCACCCCCTCGTGGGGCAACCACACGCCCATCTTCCGCGACTCGGGCCTCGAGGTCAAGCAGTACCGCTACTACGACAAGAAGACGGTCGGCCTCGACTTCCAGGGCATGCTCGACGACATCAAGGCCGCCCCCGCCAAGTCCATCATCCTCCTCCACGCCTGCGCCCACAACCCGACCGGCGTCGACCCCACCCAGGAGCAGTGGAAGCAGATCAGCGACGTGCTCAAGGAAAAGGAGCACTTCCCCTTCTTTGACATGGCCTACCAGGGCTTTGCCAGCGGCGACATCGACCGCGACGCATTTGCCGTCCGTTACTTTGTCGAGCAGGGCCACCAGATCGCCCTCTCGCAGTCCTTTGCCAAGGTGGGTACCCGTCAGTCCGACGGCCTGTGCTGGCTGGCCGCGTCGTACGCCAGGCTGAGTGCTCACCTCTTTCGTTCGACTTCCCCGCTTCCCCGCCTCTCTTTCCGGCTCCCTGCGTGCACAGAACATGGGTCTCTACGGCGAGCGTGTCGGCGCCTTCTCCCTCGTGACGGCCAACCCCGACGAAAAGGCCCGCGTCGACAGCCAGATCAAGATCATCGTCCGCCCCATGTACTCGAACCCGCCCGTCCACGGCGCCAAGATCGCCGGCTCTATCCTGGCCGACCAGGCCCTCTACCAGCAGTGGTGAGTGCCGTTGTGACCCTGAACTGCCGGCACGCGCCGAGCGCCGGCTGAGTGCGGCTGCTGACGGTTGCCTCCGAATCGCTGTCATTTCGTTTTTCACTGCAGGCTCGGTGAGGTCAAGGGCATGGCCGACCGCATCAACGGCATGCGATCCACGCTCAAGAACCTGCTCGTCAACGACCTCAACTCCAAGCTCAACTGGGACCACATCAGTAGGTCGACTGACTCGCTTTGAGCCGTGGCGACGCTGGGCGCGCCTTTTGACATCTTCGCTCCTCGCCTTGTTCCTCTCCGCAGCCAACCAGATCGGCATGTTTGCGTTCCTCGGAAGTGAGTGATTGCGCCTCGACTGTGGTGTTCGCTGGGTGGGATCTACAATGCTGACCCTCTCGCCACGTTGTGCCTGGCTCTGTGCCCGCTGTGACGCTGTCGCTTGCTCCCGTCGCCTGCAGTCTCGCCCGAGCAGGTCGCCAAGCTCTGCAACGAGCACCACGTCTACCTCACTGGCGACGGCCGCATCTCGGTCGCCGGCATCACCAACGTGAGTTTCTGTTGCTGGCCAGCGTCTCCGAGTCATGTTCCATGCCGCGCGCTGACGATCTGTGAGCTCGAAACGCGCAATCGTCGTCTGTCTTGGCCCTTCGCAGCACAACGTCCAGCATCTTGGTGAGTCTCGCCATGGCGATCGGAAGGCCCATCTATCCGCGGACGCTTTGCTGACTTCTTTCCACATCCCTGGCCCCTTCATCCTCGCCGCACACAGCCGAGTCGCTCCACAAGGTGACCAGCGCCTAAGCGCGGATCTGGATCGAACCATCGCGGACGCGCCTCTGCCTTATCCTGCGCGAGATAGATTCGACGGCCGTGGCATCATGAAATCTGAGCGCTGCGACGCTGTCGCCACCTGTGCCGACCGTCTCCCATACTGTCACGAGACCCGGCCGTCCACACGAAGAGTGAGCACTCCTCGTGGCCATGTGCGGCGTCGTCGAGCTCTCTTTGTGCGTCAGTCGCAGCGCCTGTGCGCAGGCTGGTCATCGAGCTTCAAGGCATGGACGATGGATGTCAAGGCCTTCGTCGGCTGGATCCACAGGCGCCTCCAGCGATGGGTGTCCAGCGTCGACGGGATGATGGCGACACAGGAAAGGAGCGGTGGCGCCCTCGACCCGCGTGTTACGTAGGAGGGGAAGGCAGGATGGCGGGCAGTTTCGCCGCTCGCTCGCTCGCTCGCTCGTTCTCGGCAGATTTCCGGAGGACCCTGACCACAGGCCTGCCTGGCCGCTTCGATGTGCGCCCGCCCAGCATCCGTCTGGCTGCCAGCCTGCCTGCCTGCCTACGTTGTGTTGCGCGCTCGTGTGCCTTCTTCTGGTCCTCGCCGCGTGGCTAGGAATTTGGGCGCCTGCCAGAGGCCGGCCTCAGCATCGATAAGGTCGCGCGCACACCGTCGACTAACGATCCCGCCCCGCCGCCACCAACGAGGCGTTCCGTATGTCGCCGAGACAGCACGCATATCGAGCTCGACGATGGCCTGCCTGCGAGCGCTCCTTTGCCATGGTTGCCGCTGCCGTCTCTCCCTAGTCGACCCGGAGGCGGTGTTGGTTGGGAAAGGAGGCCGGCAGGCAGGCAGGCCAGCAGGCTCCCGACGCAGGCGTGCGTTTTTGGGTCTGGGCTAGCCCCACGCCGAAGCCAGGCTTCTCGAGGAATACAAAAAAATGGTCAGGGAGGGGGAGCCCGTATTGAAGCTGGCCGCCGCTTGTATTGCGAGCCCTCAGCCAGCCCCAAAAGTCTGGAGGGATTTTGAATTGAACTCGGCCTCGCCCGCCGTGCATATTGGAACACGCCGCGGCCAGCCCTGCCGAGAAGTCGAGAGGCAGGCCGGGTTGGAGGGCGAGAAAAAGTTGGGCTGCTGGCTCGAGGGCCCGCCCACTCGCTGCAACCTCACCTTGCCTGCTTGCTTCGCCATCGCGACGTTTCGGAAACAGCCTGGCTCGCTCCTACCGCCCACTCGCTGCTTCCCCCTCCTCCCCCCCCGCGCTCTGTGCCTCACCAACACCCAGCTTCGTAGGTGCCTGGTGGCTCTTGCCGATTGCCAGCGGCCCTCCTTGCCCTTGGACCTAGATTCTGACAGCGAAACCTCCCCCGCTTCGTCCCTTACGACCACGAACACCGCCCCTGCCTCCACCAATCGAACCGTTCCTTGGAACGCAGCCTTCCCTTCCACCTCACCCTGGGCATACGGACCACGATCTGGACACTCGACGACGACCACAGCCTCCCCTAGACAACGCTCTCACCCCTCCCACGCCCACGCCATGCAGTCCTTCCGAGTCCTTCAGCGCAGCGCCGTCGCGGCCAAGTCGGCCCTGGCACAGCGATGTGAGTCGTCGAGGCGCGCCTTGGGCCTCTGGACCTTTGAACCTCGGCGCAAAAGCTTCACAGTGCCCGCTGACGCATGCACGGCCTTGCCCTTCACCTCCTGACCGGCCCAACTCACCCTCCCGACAGCCTTCCACTCTTCGCGTCAGGCGCTCGCGCTCTCCAAGTTCAACATGCCCGCGATGAGCCCCACGATGACCGAGGGCGGCATTGCTGCGTGGAAGAAGCAGCCCGGCGAGAGCTTCAGCGCCGGTGACGTCCTTCTCGAGATTGTGAGCAGTCTGGCTCGAGCCTTGGCGCCGTCGATGAGCTGCGCGGGTGCTGACGAGTTCCAACTCTTTCGCTCCCCGCGGCGCTCCTTCGCCGGCTCTGACAGGAGACGGACAAGGCTACCATGGATGTCGAGGCCCAGGATGACGGTGTTCTGGCAAAGATTATTGTGAGTGGCGCGCAGGCCGCCCGGCCCTACCTGACCGACAGATGCAGCCCGCTGACCTCGATGCAACCCGCGATCTCGTCGACAGGTTGGCGACGGCTCCAAGGCTGTCCAGGTCAACTCGCTGATTGCCATCATGGCCGAGGAGGGCGACGACCTCTCTGGTGCCGACGACTTTGCTGCCAAGGCGCAGTCCGAGTCCGGCTCCGCGCCCGCCGCCGCCGAGGACAAGAAGGAGGAGTCTGCGCCCGCAAAGGAGGAGGCTCCGGCGCCCAAGGAGGAGAGCAAGCCGGAGCCTGCGGCATCGTCGTCGTCGTCGTCGTCTGCCTCCGCAGGCGCCAGCTCCAGGCCGGCCGGCGAGCGCATCTTTGCCACGCCCGTTGCCAGGAGGATCGCCCAGGAGAAGGGCATCGCCCTCGACCAGATCAAGGGCAGCGGCCCCGAGGGCCGCATCATCAAGGCCGACGTCGAGAACTACAAGCCTGCGCCCGCCGCTGCCGCCGCTGCCCCGGCTCCCCAGGC